TTCTATCTTCAGCAGGGAAATAAATAAATGAATAAATGAATGAATTAATGGAACCGTGGATTTTCATCTAGAAAAGGAAGAAACTGGACACAATGTAGTTCTTCATGTATTTGAAGGCTGTTCTGTGCAACAGATCCTACCTATTCTGCCTTATTCTGCAGAAACAAATTGGGAAATTAGAGGAAATCAGAATTTTGTTCTATTACATTTCTAAAAGATATGAAAAAATGCAAAACAGGTTTCTTCCTACATAATAATGTATAGAACATGTGAGTGATTGAATGGTTGTTAAAAGTTTAAGGAATTGGGTAAGATGACATCTGAAGATTTTTACAATTAATTGTTGTAGTATTGGAGTTCTTCAAAAATATAGTTTTTCTGTGTTGGCAGAAATGGAAAGCAGATTGCAGGAGTTGAGTCCAAAATGCATGATGGCATTTAACTTAGAAAAGTTATCTATGAAAGGAAAGCAAATGAAACACGGGAAAGCAACCAAGGCTTGGTGTGAAAAAGACAGAGTCTGGTCTAGGATTTATCCATGGAGGAGCAACTTTCACTTAAAAGACTTCCTGAAGTTCAGTTTCATTATCTGTAGAATCAGGGCAACAACATTGGCCATTGTGGTCCTGATCTGCTGTACTTCTAGATTCTTAGATTTTGAATGAAATATTTGAGAGAGATTGTTAAGCAATCTAAAGAAATGTATTTTGATTAAGGGAAAATATAAATGCAAAAGTCTGTTAGTTGTAATGAATTTTAAGGAATTTTACAAAAGTAAGTAGTATGTAGGTCAAGGAAGGCAGGCAAAGGAGCCATACTAAAAATAAATAAATGAATAATCCTCCAGGAGAGCACTAAATTTAAATCTTCATTTTACACTGTACTCTACCTGTGCAGAAGAACAAATGCTAAAGGAATTAAATTGATTGATTAAATAAAATGCACTATTTCAATGCTTTTACTTTGATTAAATTGTGATTCCAGGTGTCGGCTTTTCAATTAATACTTCTATTTTAAGTTAAATTCTAAGAAGTTCTAGTAGTTTAATGTGTTTGAGACAAAACATAAACTTGCTCATGCCAAATTCCAAAAATCTGTTATACACATTCCTTCCAATTTTGAATTTAATACTATCTGGTGGAAGCTTAAAGGTAACCAGGAAAGTACTTACACCACAAAATCAGCAAATGTTACAAATCAGGACTTTCTTTTTCATTTGAAGGTGTGAATTTACCAACAACTACTGTCCACCCATCCCTACTCCCAGGGAATAATGCTCCCAAACATTACTCTCTTTTTTTCCTACTTTGATCTCAAAATATATAGGGACGTGTTAAATAATTAGCTATTATTGCCCTATAATTACTATCATATGTGTGCATTTCCCATTTCAGCATAAGAATACTATAACTATTATTAGTCACGGCCAGTAGTAAATAAATCCATATATTTTATATATGAATATCAAATATAGTTGAGGTCCCCAAAATTTCTCATTTCAAATAGATACTAAAATTTTTAAATTAAAATAACCCTGGCAAATCACTCATTTTCATGCATCCCGTCAGTGGCCTCCTGTTGCACAGAGAGTAAAGTTTACCTCATTAGTTACCTTCAATAGAGAGTATCATTTATCACACCACTAGTTTTACACCACATTCTGTCCCTCTCCTCTCTCCTTCCGTTCCCCTGTTTTTATTTCCTGATCCTCCAATTGGCAAAAAAAAAAAAAAAAGATCAACTCAGCATTGTTGTGTCACTCTTCATGCCACTTGGGATGCTATTTTTCTGGCTCTCTTCTTCCCCCACCTCTCTCGCCCCCCTCTTTCCCCACTCTCCTGCTCCTCTCCTATTCACACTTCCTTCATCTCCTCCATCTCTTCCTACAGACATCATGGCGTGGTTTTCGCTTGCACAGAAAGCTCTCTTTTGATCATCCTATGTAAACTTGGGCATTATTCTTACAGTTATTTCTCCTTAACCTATTTTTCTTCATCTTATACTTGTAACTATCTTATTTCTGAACTTTCTAGCTTTCAGTCTTATCAGTTTTTTTTCACTGATGGTTATGCAGTCCCTTTAACAAGGCTTGGCCCAGAACAGCTGCAACAGAAGTAAAGAAAGAAGAAAATAGAAGAGGGAGGAAAGTATAGCAGCTTGATTTTGACTTGAGGGGAGTAAGTTACTGAAATACAGACTTCATGAAGAGGAGATCTCATTTATTAAAAAGATCCTCTTCATGGACTCTAGTGACCAAATGAAATTGATCACCACTGAAGAAATCACCCTAGCCAAAATCTTCAAATGCAGGTTGCTCTGTTCTCATACGTGGCCTATTTGCTGGTGTTTAGCCAAGGATATATAAAAGGTTAAACCTTTGTGAGAAATTAATACCTTGCTTTTAAAAATCAGGACCATGATATCTATCCAAAACATCTCACTTGCAGTCACTGTATTTAGTGAGATTTTATGAATGTGTAACACGTAAAGTGCTTGCCTCTTCCAACCAAATACAGTCGAGTGTGAGTAAGGATGCACCCATGAAGGAAAGGGAAAAGGAAGTCTTGTTTCTCTAAAAAGAATATTATAGAACAAAAATGTGGGGTTTTATCCTTTTGGAAGATGATTGAAATAATTTGATGGTTAGCCTAAGATTTGAAAGTATGTTTAAAGCATAATCTCAGCATCTATTTAATTCAAAGACAAATTGTTTCTGAGACTACTGCTGATAGATTCAACAAGCTGCAGGATGTATTGCTTTACCCAGTATTAACGTGGTAGCTGGAAGAAAATCAAGACATATTTTCCAAGCCTTAGGAGGTGTTACCTCGTGGTTCCTATTTATTTCTGATTATGATTCTTACTGAAAATATATTGGGTGGCAGTGGATAACTTGATTCTGTGTCTGCCAAGTAGAAAAACTTCATCTTTGTCCTTCAGGACCCCACAATTGAGAAATGAAAGCCTGTCACACAAAAGCATATGTTGATAAAGATTCAAAGAAGATCATATTGCCAAACACAACTTCAGTTAAAAAGAATAGGAAATTATATAAACTAATACAATGTAAAAATAAGGGTGTTCAATTATTTTTCTATCAGATTTTTCCATTTGGAACTATTTATAAGGGAGTTAAATATAAAAATCTCAAATATTTCTGGGACTCTATTTTAGGGTATAAGCAGGATTTTACTATATTAGTACTCCTTTAAATATAACTAAGTTCTGTAGCATTGAAGCATGTAATATATAGAAAGGTTCAGATTAGTTTGATTACTCCTATCACTGACACTTTTCAGTACAACAGAAGTTTATAATAATGAAAGTTCATGTTTCCCTGTAGATCTTTACTGAATGTTTCAGATAGCAGGGACAAGAAGAAATTGAAAGTCATAGGACTGGTATAGCTTTCTAAAGGAAATAGCACATATCAAAAATTCTTAATTTATTCTCAACGTTAATCTATCTTCGTAGAAGCAGGAGTAGTATTGATCTGTCAAAGTAAGTACACATTTAATTTTTAAAAAATAATTTATCTACTATTAGTTTAAGTAATTGATTCTCTAACCAACTTAATCTAATAAAGCAATTATTTGACATCTGAAAGTTAATGAACTACCCCAGCTGTTGGAGGTGTAGAGACCCCTGTAGAATTAGATTAATCCACTAAATCACCCTAGTCCCTCAGTAATGCCTCTAGATGGATACTGGGGAATTTTGGGGTTTTTTTTTTTGTTTGGTTTGGTTTGGTTTTTTTTTTTTTTTTTGGTACCAGGGATTGAACTCAGGTCCTTGAGCTTGCAAGGCAGGCCACTGAACCGCTGAGCTAAATCCCAGGCCCGATACTGGGGAATTTTGATGGATTAAAAGCTAACTCCAAAAACAACACTAAGGTCTGATTCAAGCACTAAGATATGATTCAAGCAGTCGTCACTCTCATTCCATGAGTAACGCTGTCCCTGAAACACAGCCCTAAACCTGCTTTTGTATTGACAAAACTCTTGTTATTGGCAAGCCTTCAAGATTTTGTCACAACTCGATTTCTCTCTGAGATTAGCTACCAGTTGTCCTTCAAAGATGATTTCTCTCCAATAAGTATCGCAGACAGATTGGAGGCGGGCAGCCTAGTCGCAAGTGGTGCTTTACTTCGGAAGGGTAGCCCTAAACCCATTCCCTCTCTCAACAGATTGTGCTTTCCATGCTCATTTTTCTACTCAGTGTCCTACCCGGCCCTGATCCCTTATCACCACGTAAGACATTTAGAAGATTGTGGATACACACTGACGTGATTTGAGTATGCAAGAATAGTAAAGAATCAGGTCCAAGTAACCCTACTTGGTTATCGAGAAGTTTTAGCTCCTCCTACAAACCATAGCATTTCCAAAAATATATGCCTATATCGTGGAGTATTCAGAGTAAGCAACCATGACCATTTCCAAAACTACTTACTTCTGTACGGAATTTTTTTAAAGTACGTGAAAGAAAAAGAAGCTTGGAAGGAAATATTGGCGATGATATATCTTGAAGCAGCAGTAGGCAAAAGTCCCCATGGAAGGAAAGTTGCCCCCTGCACAAACCAAAACTTTGCTTTGATTCATTCTTTTTAGAGGACTTTTGCTATATTCAGAAATATCCCTCCAAAAATATTCTCTTATACACATCCTTAAATGTCTAACTACAAATGGCTATTAATATCTTATAAATAATTAATTTGTGCTCTGGGAAAAGACAAATATAAAACTTTTCCCAAGAATACTTAATCAGTACCCCTTGTTACACTTTTTCATATATTTAATATTTATGTAAAATGCTTTCTTGGCAGGAGATCAGTATCTCTCTAATGAAGAGCCCATTGACGACACAAAATAGAACTTTCCTTCCCCTTTTAGTAGAAGACGGCCTATTATTCAGTGTCCTTTTTGTCACACTAAAGAACAGGGAACTTTTTATTCTGTCCAAGAAATGACTTCAATTCAGTAACAACACGTTCTGTTCCCCAGGAAATAAGAGAAGATCGAGATAGGGCACGGCTGGACTCCATGGTGCTGCTAATCCTGAAACTGGACCAACTCGATCAGGACATTGAGAATGCTCTCAGCACCAACTCCTCCCCATCCGGCACACCAACGAACCCGCGGAGACAAGTTCCTGTGAGCTTCTCCCTCTCCACTTCCTTCCTTTACTTGGTGCAGTCCCTCTTACAAGTGAAACACTTCTGATGACGACATCTGTTAATCTGTGAAATAGAGTCCCACAGAGGTCACTCAAATTTCCATGCTTCCTGCAGAGAGATTATAGAGCAATGGCTGTAACAAAGAAAATACTTAACCTTAAATATAAAAAAGTCACTGGGAAATTATGCACACTAGTAATTAAATCCTCCTTCTTGTTGTTTACCTAATTGGTGGCTACTCTCTGATAGGACATAAACTCCTTTAGTGAGTACTATGTCTGTCATTTAATAGATTGATTCTAGGGTCTCACAAAATTACATTGCTTGAAGAAAGTGTTTAATAAATATTTGCTGTAAGGATGGGATGGATGGGTGGGTGGGTGGACGGATAGATGGATAAATGGATGGATGGAAGGATGGATGGATGGATGGGTGGGTGTTGGTTGAACTAACCCAACAGAAAAAAATTTACATAAAATTATCTTGATGAAACTCCATAATTAACTCAATGAAATATAATAAATAGAATAAAGATGATAATTTTATTATATTGTGCATTAATTCCAAGGGAGCCTTCTCTGAGATTCTGACACTCAGAATAAAATTGGGAAGACACAAATCCAGGATTGGCTATAAAATTTACATGTTTAATGTGAGCTCCATATTAAATTGTTCGGTTTGTACAGATCTAGCAAATACTGTTTGAATTTATCCGTTATTAGACTAGACATGCCTTTCAATTCATCTAAGACTTGTGTAATGCAATAATAAATACATTGAGGGAAGACATTTGTATTTATTTTAAATCAAAGAGGTGTCAAATCATATGTACCTACTGAACTAGAATTATTATGCATCCAATTCTTTGCTTAATATAGTTCACTGATTCTGAAGTAAACAAACATATTAAAAATAAGGCCTTTTTTTTTTTTGCCTTACCAGGTATTGAACTAAGAACCTTGTACTTGCAAGGCAGGGACAGCACCACTGAGTTAAATTCTATCCTGAGTTAGCCCAAAAATAAGGCCTATTTAATACACGAGGTGTAATTCTAAGTGTTCTGTATGTCTTAACATAATCATTCTTCACATTTTTTCAGATGAGTAAAAGGTATAGAGAAGTTATTAGCGGTAAGAGTCAGTGCTGGAATTTAGCTCTAGTCAGTCATTTTTATTATTATATATTCGGTATACAAACTAATTTATTTCATTCTGAACATCCATCAATGCCTATATCCTACTTTGATCATATCTACATTCTTGCACTAGTGACTCTTCCATAAATCTCCTATCTCTCTATCTGTTTTTAAAAGCAACCTCTCTGTCTTTTTCTCTGTCTCTCTCACTCTCTCTTTCTTTCTGTCTGTCTGTCTCTCTCTCTCCCCACTCCTGTAGCATCTTTCACATAATTTGGTTTTAGCAAATAAACCATTGAAAAGGAAGGAATGCAGACAAAGTGATTTCCTGAAGGCTACCAGGAAGAGCTACTTTAAGCTAAGTGTGGTGGTGCATGACTGCAGTCCCACCACTGGGGATATCGAGGCAGGGAAATCACTGGGAATTCAAGACCTGGGGTACATAGTGAGTTCAAGGCCAGCCTGTACTACACAGTGAGATCCTGTCTCAAAAACAAAAGTGCAAGCTATTTTTAGCCAGGCATGTTGGCACATGCTTGTAATTTCAGCACTGGGAAGAATAAAACAAGAGGAGGTCCCCAAGTTAGAGGCCAGCCTGGACTCTCTTCTGAGATCCTGAGTCAAAATGACCAAAAAGGAGGGGTTTTATTTAAATTTTATTTACATAAAAAGAATGTACAGAAGATTTATACTCGCCTTCATTAATATCTCTAAAGCCTAAAATAACCATATTTTTCACCAGGAGATACCTTAGTAGCTCATTACCATTAATGGTATGAGACACATTTTCTCTTTAAAGGTTTTCTAGTGTGGCATTATTCATTTCTTTCTTTTAAATGTCTCTACATTCAACTTTCTTTGCTCTTTAGATATTTAGGAGGAAGGCACAGCTCAAATTTCTGCTAAATACGATTGCATGTTATTGTCTCCGTCTCAAAAAGCAAGACAGCTCTTCCCGGACAAACCGGATTCTTTGTTAAGTGGATTGCAAACCAAGATCAGGAGCTAACATAGGTGATGTTTTGAGGATTTGTCTACATCTACATTTTCTTCCTCCATTTAAATTGCAAAGTAGACTTTATACTGTGCTCCACAACTCATAGAAAATCAACATAATCATTGTCTCTGTAAATGAAGATCTATTACAAACTCTCAATATATAGTTGGAACATGAGACAAAATAAGACAAAGTATCAGCTTTGGTGGCTGCCATTCTGGTTCAAATATCAGTTTTATAACTACTTTCTGGAAACAAAAAATTATTTAACTTCTCAATTGTAAGTTCGTGTAAAAGAGATATTGCTTTTTTCACTAATAGTGGCCTCTTGGGAAGAGTAAATGAACAAATTATGTGTTTTGCACAGATCTTGCACAGAGTATATATTTAGCAGTCATTGATTCTCCCCACACCCCCACACTCATTCACATCAGGCACAAGGCTAAAGATGAATAAGACATAAACTCCTTTTTGGTCTTCATGTTATTCTATGTCACTCCTTGGTCTTCATTTCTGTTCCTTGGTATTCAAAGTTAATTTTAACATTCGCTCATCATCAAAAGTTTTTCCACAAGTGCTTTCCATCCCTTTTGATAATTGCACCACGGAATAAGAGGATTATAACACATGATTATGACTGTTCATCCAGCAAGGAACACTGTCCTAGATTCAAAGAAAATGCCTCACCCTTCCCTTCTACTGCTCTGTGAATTTCTAATGCGCCAGGAGGAGCAGTGAAGCAGTGGCTCCCCTCCACCCTCAGTCTGAGAATCCAGAAGAAAAAAGGCCAGAATGAATTCTACACAGAACAAAGAGTGCAAAGAATAGTGTAGCCTGAAGTCATGAAGAATGAATTCAGCATGAAGCAAATATGAAAACAGGGATAGAGAAAAAGATCTAAAGGAAGTTGCCGAGACAGAGCTATATAGTCGGCTCTAACTTCATAGATTCCCCGCAACTCAGGATCTGCTTTTCTCCTGCAGAGTCCAAACACTTAACTTTGTCCACGCCCCCACCACACATCAGGCTTTAACCCGGTTCAATATAGCCAGTCTCGTGGGGGACGTGGCAGGCCGAGGCATGGGGTGGAGAAGACAGTAGTATTTAATGAGCATTACACATGTTACTTTATTTATCCTCTTGACAATCCTAAAAGGAGAAATCTGAGCTTCAGAAAAGATGAGTAATGTACCTGCGGTCATGGTCACACAGATGGGGAGTGAGAAGTGACTTACCAAAGTCCAGACAGCTGGCGATATTTACTTCCACATCTGTCAGAAAAGCCCGTGTTCATTCTGCTGTGTTAAAAGCTTTCCAAGATGCAAATTTTTCATTCATAATGGGATATCATTTTTTGAAGCAGAATCCCTTGTCTGACAGCCAATGACTTTTCTTCTACATAGCAAAGTACTTTGAGTTGAAGTTACTGTTTTTGAGTCCATGTATGGTCAGGAAGACATTGGTAATCTCTTGAGATAGTTCATCCATCTTGTGGGGAAGCCTAGGAAACACGAGGGCTAAAACCACTTCATTCCCCTTTAACAAATCTATGGCCCTGCTCCAGGTATCATTCAGTTCTCTTAGATCTTCAAAGGTGACTATTTATATATCGTACTGTTGGCCCAAGCCTATTCTCTATCCTTACATTTATCTCTTTGCAAATATTCTTGCCTTTCTCTTCACCTAGTAAACAGGCAGTGGCAGCTTTGCCAGCATCACATCTGCCCATAGCTGTGTCTACCTGTTCTCCACTTTCTTCTGAAGTCAATAAAAGATATGTTGATCCCCTTGTCTAGAACAGATCATATAGTCTGTGTCCTTATGCCCATTCCGTCTCATCTTCCTTATCCCACTGTGAATCATTCATCTTCTTTCACGGTTTAAATTTAATTATTCTATTCCTGTTAGTTCTTTTTTCTTTCCTTTTTAGTACATGTACATCCTGCATTTTATCTACGATGTACCTATTAAATAAATAAAGTACGCCTTTATTTAAGGCTGCTATAGTAGCGTACAGGGAAGAGAAAGGTGGTGGTGAGAGATGTCATTGCTCCTTTTCACTGCAGACAATTTAAAACAAAAATTTCCCTTGATCTTCTCCTAGGCATTGCGTGGTCTCACTTCTTCTTGATGACCTAAGCTTTTGTCTCTTCTTAATCTAGCATTTCTTTCTTGATTTAATTCTTGGCTACTGCTCCCTCATTTCTGCACAACGTACCTTCTGTCTGACAAATCCAGCAGTAACTGCTCAGTCTTTAGCCACAGTATTTGGTACAGGTAAACCTCATCTCCCATGGACTTTCACTTTTCCTGTGGCTTCTGGCTCCCGCCCTCTTTTTTTTTTTCTTCTCTGCTTCCTCTTCCTGCCTTTGCCTCTTACACCCTCTATTCAGGACTAGGCTTAATTCCCCCTCCTATCTGACTTTGAATATTCTCCTTGGGAGTTACCATGTCTTCCATCACCTTGTTCACAATGATGGTCATGAAGGTAATTTTTTGGTAGTCTCCAGATCTGGATGGCCCAAAGATCACAAGATCCCCACTCTTTTGGGCCATTCACCCCTACTCCAGTGCAAGCCCACTAGCTTGATTCCCCACCACAATAAGAATTTTGCTGAGATCTGCATAGGTAATATGCTCTGGCATAGTTGGAGGACGAGCATAACCATAACAGTGGAACCCTTGTAGGAAGAGAATGCATAAGATGCATTACACAAATTCAGGGAAACTGTTAGATTTGACAATAATTCAAGTTTTAGGCACCACTAAGCTTGAGTATGATAGTAATACACAAGTAAAGGAAGGAGTGATATGGGAGAGCTCTGTGCTATACCCTACCATGAATGGAAAAATCAATAAAGATTTGCACTAAACTAAACATTCATGGCTCTACTTCAGTCACTTACTTAGTTGTGTTTTAGGTCCTATCAGAATAGCAATTTGGTTTCTTTATGGGGTTGAACTTTGAAATCCAAAAGACTTGTGATTTAATGCCAGTTCTGTCTCTAACTATGGCTTCAGTTGAGGGCCTTGCCTTAGGTCTTGGCTTCATCACTGCTCGGGTGAACACAGGATAGGTGGACACTGAAGTTGATGGTTATAAAGTATTACCTGTAATAGTTAAAAACAGGGCCGGGGAATTAGCTCAGCATTTCGGTGGCCTGCCTCGCAAGGGCAAGGACCCGAGTTCAATCCCCGGTACCAAAAATAATAACAATAATAATTAAAAGAAAAGCATTGTATTTTTAAACAGTATTATTTTACTTCAGAACCATTGTGTGGTTAAAAAGATGTGAGAATACTTTGGTAATTACCTTGTCAAATCATAAAGAGGAAGGCAAATTTAATAGAAAAAATTTCTAATGTGGGCCAGGGATTTAGCTCAGTGATGCCACTGCCTGCCTCACAAGCACGAGGTCCTGAGTTCAATCCCTGCTACAAAAAAAAAAAAATCTGATGCACAAAAAGATCAAATATAAATGACATAAATTTCCTGCTAATAATCATGATTATGCATTTGATGTTTATAAATTGCCTATTTGTCACTAATATTAATTCCATTTGAAATTTAAACAAATCATATTTTACCTTAGAATGACATCGTCTGTCTACTTAAAAAATAAAATAAATATGATATGAAGTCATTATGGACAACAGAATATAGCTATGTACTTTGCTCCTGCACCCACATGCACATCTATAAAAATGCACCCATTCTTAAAGAATGCAGTATTACTCTTCATATTTATTGTCATTATATTTCTCTTTTATACTAGTTAAATTGCAGAATGGAGAAGTTCAATGCTATTGATGATTTATCATTTTACAGAAATGATGCACTTACATTGAGAAGACAGAAAAAGAAAGACATCAATATGTCAACTTGGTTATTCTTTCATATATTAAGTGACAAAATTCTGTGTGCCAGGTGCAATTCTCAGAAAAGGGGAACTATGAGTAAATTAGACAGGTGAATCTTGTTCTTGTGAGTAAAAGGACATAAGGATAAGAAAGAGAGTGGAATTGATATGTGGATAGACAGGTAAGTAGCTTAATAGATCCATTGATTGACATGATGGATAAATAAAATGTAAAATAATTTTCATATGTAGAATGATATTCTGTAGAGACTGACGGGAGAAAACTCCTTTGGCTTGCATGTAAACAAGTGTTTTATGTAAGGGCACATTTGTGCTGTAGAAAGTAGCTTAATGTAATAGAACTAAAAAACAGCCAGGGTGACCAGAGCATATGAAATAACAACATAGTAATAAAATACAGGGTCAGAGAGTTGGGGTTCAGGGCAAATATTTGACAATGTGGACGATGGTAAAGTTGATACGTAGAAAGATTAGACAAAGAGATATTTAAATCAACATTTTCTCAGGTTAAAAACGTAGACAGACATGCACCTTTGCTCCCTGTTCTCTGCTGTCTCCCACATTCACACTTCCTCTGTGCTTTCAAATCACCTACAATTTAAAGAGGTCATTTGATAAATTAAATGCACAGCCTTTGTAGAAGTTAGAGAGTGATTGAATCCATTCCACAGATATCTTGGCTTCAAATTATGTATAGTTACTAAGAATGCATAATGATGTTAATTATTGTGAGATATATATATAAATACATATCATATATATGGCTACCTCTGATTGAAAATTGTTACATGCCAACTGTTTGCTGATCCTTCATAAAATTTGATGAGTGAATATTATTATACTCATTTTCCAACAAGGGAATTGTATCACACATGAGAAAATATAATTTGTATCCTCAGTGTATAGTTCATTATACACACACATTCTTGATCTGAATGATCCAAGCCATTGTAATAGATGTGACTCTGCTGATCTAATGGGAACAGAAAAGAGAATAAGGGGAGAGGAAATGAGATTTATCTATGTGTGTGACATACATTGTGGCCCTGTGTGGAGTCTGGAGAGCACTTTACTGTATGTGGGGTGCTAAGCGAGTTACTCAAGGTCACATGGTGAAGAGTGGGCGTTTCTAGGTTTCTACATCTAACTCTTCTTCCCGTTCCCTAGCAAGCTCCCACCACTGGCCCTTCAAATTCACATTAAGCTCTTAAGATAACAAAGTAGAACATTACCACATCTCAATTATTTGACAGCCTTCACTATACTACGATTGTTTTACAAAATAATGCTTGAACCTGAGTGACGTGTCAACATCAGTGAGTCTTTAGTGCATCTGTGTGTGTTGACAGAAAGAAGATGTGGAAAGGTGCTGGTAGAGGAAAATTGTCATGTAGGGTACACTCACCAGTACATTTGCTTTTCATAGGATATGGCATCAGGATCTGAAAATGGAGCAGATATAATTTCAGCAAATCAGATGCAAGCAAATTTGTCTTCCGATGCAGAATCTGCTGATCTACCATCTTCCACCTCAGTGACCAATTCTGGAACCAAACCCAAGGCCATGGTAAGTTGTAAATGACAGCAGTGGGTCTTAACGTTAACTGCTGGTCTGCATCAGGTAAGAACTGATATCCCATTCATTCCTACCCATGCAATGCTCTTGGAGTCTAAGCTGTTCAGACTTGATGGTATTTACTTAAGGATCATCCTAGAAACATATTTTTAGTTCTAGTGTTTTATAAATGGCAACACACATGTTTCAATGAAACAGGACAAGGATCCAGAACTATGCAAAAGTATGGTAAATTTTATCACTGAATGCTCAAAGCTTTAAAGAACCTAAAAGAAGATCTGGAGACAGCTTTTCCTGCATTATTATCCTGACCACCACATCACTTACTAATTGGAGAAGTGGCTTTTTAAGCATCAGTGATAGATGATGGAAGATGAATGGATGGGTGGATGGACGGATGGATATATGGGCAGATACACGTAGATGAGAGCTAGAAAGGTAGGTGGATGGAATGGAATGGAATGAGAGAGGGAAACAGTTATATAAAATTACCAGCATTATAAATTTTCTGTGTAAATTAAATTATTTAACATCTGTAAAGGGCTTAATGAAATATTTGGTAAAGACCAAATAAACTGAATAATGTAAGCTAATGCCATCATAATGATGCTTCATAAACTTTACAATGCTATCCAAATAAGGGAAAAGAAAAGTTACCAGAGAGAATAATATAGCAGGATAAATTGTGAATAAAAGGCATTTTTCTTTAAGTCAAAGATGAGCAACAATGGGAAAATAGTATTTGACTCTAAAAAGAAACTTTTATTAAAGAAGTAATTACTACTTCAAATGTCTAAAGTCGCAGCAGTTCCAAAATAACCTTTCCTAGCTTAGTGAAAATCATAGTGCCATATTATTTTTTAAATGCCATGTTAGCTTAACAAAGAGAAACAAGCTTAGATTGCTTGTTTGCTTGCCTTTAAAGTAAAAATTAGTTCTAAAATAGGACTTGAGAGAATGCTCTTTACTTAAAACATGATAGGTTTGCTGAAATTGCAAAGAATTAAAATGCGTCATTGAAAAAACAGATATGTGAAACATTGATATTTACATAGAAATTAAATTTTATGTAGAGAATATCTCTTGTTTGACTGAATATCTATTGAACATTTACATGTCATGAATTATACTAAATGAAAAAGACCTGAGTGATAAAACATATTCTGTCTTCAAGTATCTTGTGTTCTTAAAAACTGAAATGCAATGAGATGCTATATGGGCTATGGTAGTAATATGTATATCAGATATTAGAAGCTAAAAGATACCTCACAATGCTACTTCGGGGTACACTAAAAAAAACAAAATTCATCACTGAATGGCATCACAGTGCAATGAAATCCTGCAATTATTTTTCATACTAGGCAATAAAGATTTCAACATGAAATGTGTTTAAATTATGAAATCCAATAATCTTATTACCTCACATTCTGCTTTAAGAAAATGATTCCTCCCTTCCTTCCTACCGTCTTTCCTTTCTGCAGTGCTGGTAACAGAAACAAACCAAGCATGCTCTACCACTGTGCCGCATTCACAGCCCTTTTTCTATTATATTCAATTTTTTAGACTGGGTCTTGTGAAATTAGCAATGTGGGAGTTGTACACAAAATCCTCCTGATTCATTCTTTCCAAGTGCTAAGATTACAAACCTGAACCACCATGCTTTACTACTAACTTTTTTTTTTTAATCACTCAACCATGTTTGATGATTTTGAAAATCACTGGAACACTGGCTTTTTAAAGATCAGAGACAGGTAGAGGGTTCACTATTTAAAACCATTTATGATTTAATTCACTTTTTTATTCATTAATTTTATTGGTACATCTTAGGTATACAATATGATGACATTCATCATTCGACGTTTGTACCTTTACATCATATATCTTGGTTCTTATTTTTTCCCCATTCCCCTGGCCTCCCTATTTATAAAGATGTTGTTTTCAATTTTTCCTTTTCTCATATTTATTCCTTTCTGTTCTTTCTTGTCCCTGCCCCTCCTCCATCCCCTTCCCCTCCTACCTTTTCTTCCTATTCCATTATCTATTAATATTTGGATCCTCATTTACACTTTCAGTTTCTCACACCAGAACTTTTTAAAGCACTCATTAGTTTCCTGCCTACTAGTTCTGTGCACTGATACTTATTCCATACTTAACTTTTGCTTTAGAATAATGAAGATGGAACCCACTTTTTCTCCCTTGAAACACACATAACTTGTTGCAATATACACGACTGTGTGTGTAGGTCTTTGGTCCTTTTTCAATATCCCTTATTAATTAGTATGGCAAAAGTGCACACACACACACACACACACACATCTCCAATCATTTTCAGTTTTGTGATAAGAAATACCAGTCCAACAGTTTTCCCAAGTCTTTTATCCTTTAGAGTATTCTGGAAAGGATTCTTTTTGTATTTATATTTTTCACTGTTTCTCATATCAGTAGACCAAACTATTCACCCAACATTCAGTTAACATGTATTTAAGTCAATTATTGAACAGAAAAAATACTCTTTCACATATTTCAAATAAAATATTTACTAAAAATTTACTAGCTTTGAATACAATAATATGCAAATGTACCGTCAATAGTTAGCTTGACTTACCTCAGCACTCACAGCTGCATAATCACACCACAACTCACTAATCATGAAAACACTGAAGATTTTTCTGCATTTGACTCAGCCTATAAATGCAATATTCCACTTCAAGGCAACCAAATCCACCTAGCAATCACGACCAGTACCACAGGTGGATCAGGTCAACCGGATATGCAATTCTGCCCAACTACTGAGCTATAATTTAGTAAATTTCTCTAGTAGGCCATGAAAAGTATCCAAAATGAAACACTATACTGTCAAAGACAGCTGACTTTGAGGAAATCTGTTAAAGAAAGTAGCTAGTAAAAATAAATGAAGATAGCTTGAAAAATAGGCTATTGTTTTGTGTGAGACCATTTTATTTTTTTTGTTATTTATGTTGTTGACCTTTTTAGAGTCTCCCTTTTGCTATGGTTTGAAAATGATTCTTTCACCATGAACCATTTTTATGGTTGAAATACTACATTTAAGAATTTTATCTGTTTTATGACAACTTAAGCACAGTACTTTCCCCCCACAATGTGTAGCTTAGGTAATAGATGATACATAAGAGTAGTCTGGATACTTTGTGAAACGAAAGAAAATTCCTATATTCTACAGCTCTTTTCTTGTCATTAAGAACTAAAATTTCAATTTTAATGTTAAGTAGAAATATGAAATTCTAAAAACATTCAGTTAATTTATCCATTTTAATGAATTAACCTTTTGCTATGTTTACTGGAGCTTACATACATTCAGAATTAGTTTAATTTGCATTTGACTTGCAACTGTGAAATCAATTTATACTGATGACTGTCACAAATACTTGGCATTCCTTTTGCTTGTAACTTCTCTGGGTTTCTAGGTACATATTTTTCAGTAAAACTATATACGTATATATAATAATTAAAATGAGATAAATGAATAATATCCGGGTTTTTCACTAATACTACCTATGCACCATTCTGAATATCCAGCATTAAATGGATTTCTGAGCTGTGTGACATACAAAAATGAAAACACTGCCAATAAACACATCAGAGGGGACAGAAACATAGTGCTTTATACCAAGAAATTCACTCCTCTCCTCACATTGTGCTATTCATTTGAAACATTCTTTTTTTTTTTTTTTTTTTTTTTTTTTTTTTTTGGTACTGGGAATTGAACTCGTGTCCTTGAGCTTGCAAGGCAGGTGGTGGAATCACTGAGCTAAATCCCTGGCCCTATTTGAAACATTCATGAAGCCTTCAGATTAGACTCCGACAGACAATGCTAGAACCCTGCATCACCTTTTGTTATAAAGCCATATTCTGGTGCCATTCTGTCAGTGGCTAGAATTGTTCCAATATTATTTAACATGAAGTTGTAACATTTTAAAAAAGGTTTAAAATTGAATTCGGGGGGATTCAGAGGGGTTTTTTGATATTTATTTATATTTTAGCATTTAATATCTGTTCTGAAGTATAGCATCTTAATATACTCTAAAATGTGCTAATCTTAAATATTCAATTTAATGCATTTGAATATTTGGAGAAACATTTACATTTATATACCACATCTCTATGCCCTTGTAGCTGCCACTCAGGTCAAAATAACATGAAAGGCCAGAAACGAACTGTGGTTTGTATACCCACCCTCATCACCTGCTTTCTAATTAGGTCTAAAAGTGTTACAGTCAAGAACAAGTGAAGCGTACAGCCAATTCTAGAGTAGTTTTACCTTTTGCTTTATTTTTATATTTAATTGATGTATATAATATTTGTATTTTTGTGAGGGACAGTGTTGTAACTTGGTACATGCATATACAATGCGTAATGACCAATGTGGGTAAATGGCATTTACTTTTCACATGTACTAGTATTTCTGTGTTAGGAGCCTTTGAACTCTTCTCTCATATTTTGAAATGTATCCAAAATTTTTGTAGTTTATAGTTATGCTACTTGCTATAGAACGTTAGAATCAATCCCCTTTCAACTGCAGTTTGGTTATCCATTATCCAATTTGGTTACCCATTATCCAATCTCTCTCTGTTCCCCTCCTTCCCTTACCCCTCCTAACCTGTCATGACCTCTATTTTAATCCCTACTTCTATGTGAACATTTTTTAGTTCCATAAATGAGTAAAAATGTGTGGTATTTGTCTTTCAATGTCTTCGTCTGTCTCACTTAGCCTAATGTTCTTCTGTTCAACCCATATTGCCATGAATGATAAGATTTCATTTTTTATGATGGTGTAAAATTTCACTGGGTACATATTTTATTCACTCATCTAATGCTGAACATCTCATTTGTTTCCATAGCTTGGCTATTGTGAAGGCTACTGCAATAAGTATGTGTAAACAGATATCTCTTTTATACTCTAATTTCATTTCCTTCAGCTATACACTCAGGAATAGAGGAATGCTGAATAATAT